CGGCGTTTCACAGAAATACTAGTATCAGAATAGATTGAGCAAACAGTTCATGATGCATCAGAATTTTATTGCTTTATAAGGCTAGTGTGTTGCAAGTTGACACAGAAATAGATCTGAGCTGGGCAGATGAAGGTGTAGAGTCTGGTAAGAATACCTGTAATGTCACACAAGCGAGCTTTTTAAAGTGAGGAGACATTCATTCTTTTATATTGTCATTACAAATATACAGAATGAATTAGGTCTTAACGCCTTGACTTTTGCACTCTTGATCATGTTTTAATAGCGATAGTGCCCTCGGAGGTGTCCTAAAACTGCTTCATAGACTGTAAGGAGGGCAATCTTTTTATCCTAGTGCATGTTGTGCGTTACTCATGTTATCAAATCTGCAAATTCTCATTGCCCTGGTATGCACTTTGAAAATTGCCAACTGTCCTCTGTCGACTGGCGCTGACGTAGACGGATAAATGTGTCAGTAGTGTTTGTTCCAGACAAAACAACTGAGAATTGAAGCCTCACTTTGCAGCTCCTTGCAGCTTTCATCATTTTTTGTTTCGGTTGGCAGACTAAGAAAATCCAACCTACTGCTTCCTGTAACACTGAGGTCAACCACTTACAGCAAAGTGCACACAGCACATACGCTCTGACTACAGGCCACGTGCCTTACAGGATCGAGTAAAGAAATAACTGGGGAAAAAAGTCAAATATTTACTGAGCACAAGAGCTGACACACTACACTAGGGCCTGGGGACCATTGGACTGGACGTCTCACAGGTAGCCAGAAATAGGTGTCCAATTGTTGCCCTGGCAGCATTTGTTCAGCCGTCTCTCTGTGTGATGCAAGACACACACTGTATATCAGTGAGTGTGATCTTGTGGGCTGGGGGAGCTGCTGCCCCGTGTTTTATCTGAATGGGTTAGGAGGTTATGTGGAGTCGCAAACTAAACAATGACAGTGACAGAAAGCAGCAGAGTTGTGAAGCAGGATGTTTATTCTCAGCAGAATAAAGTGACCCCTAGTGTAAAAGATATTGTTATCACTGTTATTTTATTAGAAAAAAAGGTTTGAAGATAAGTTTGATGAATCTTCATAGCACCCAGATAAATTTGATTCTACAGAATTTTAAAAATGTAGTTGCGAAAACTAAAATCAAATTGTGAAATAGAACAGCACTGCCTGCTTTATGAGACCATGCATGGGTCCTGGACACTGCACCGACCTGAAACCATTGCAAGACGGAGAGGAGTCACCTAAACTCACTTTGATTGATTGGAAATGAAATTTAGTACAAGCAAATAATTAAACAACTGCATGGTAACAAGAGTTTGGAGCCCAACTCAGCTGCAGAGAGCAGCTAAGAAACTCCCATTAGTGGAAGTAGATGACAAAACTGTAGGAACTGAGGGAACATATCGAAAAGATCAACATGAGCCAGAACTCCACCACAGCAAAGATGGCAGCTTCATACAAACCTGCTGTTTATGAAACAACTAAAAGTGAGAGAATTCCGGGGTTATGGTTTTGATGCAGTTTTGAAAAAATCTATGGGGTGTGAAATTCATATCTTCCATTCCAATGACAAGACAACTAATGTTTCTCAGCTGTGGAATATGAGAGAGTCTCTAACTACAGTTCATGTGATCACGTTTCTTGGATACCAGTTTAAATTAAGCTTATAAAGAGGACAACAAAAAGAGTTTCATCTCCTTATCTGGGTTACTTTACTTCTCACAGACCAAAAGTAGCTATAGGGTGACACAGAGGAAAACCGAAAGCAGAAGGTCCCACTCCAGTGACTCTTCTTCCCCCTTTGGTATTGTCCTGACTCCAGGGAAAAACAAAGCCACCATAATGAGTTCCTTTCTTTCAAAAAGCAAATCCTGGTGTTTATAATCCAAGCACATGTGTCACAAATCACAACAAACACTATTTTAGGTCTCACTATACATTTTTTAGGTTATTGTCTTGAGAAAACGATGTTGCATTTATCCAAAAACAGTGCAGGAGTGGTGCAGTGAGCCTGTGACAAGATGTGTGGAGCGTGAGACGATGTGAGCACAGGATGGTGAGTTTAATGAAATGCACAGTGCGATCTCTACAAGCCCTGAAACGATGCTGACCATGCAAAACATGGAGTCCCATGGACCCACGCAGAGCTGCTCTCTGATATTTCTGTCCAAACATTTGCCTGGTTGTCTCTCCAGCTCATTTTGTGAAATATTAATGACTTTTTTCCAGAACAGAGAAAACACAATAAAACATGTACTAATTGGTAGCCTCCTCTAGTTGGATTTGGAAAGTGAAAACAATATTTCCCTAGTAATATTTCTTTTCACTTTCTTTTCTTCATATTTCCAGCGGCAGGTTTCTCCTTCTCTCATCAGTAATTACAGACACACAGAACCGGTTTGCAGCCAAGGACACAATTACTCTAACCAATATTTACCTCTAATAAAAATAAAGTGTAATTTTTTTTAAAAAGTAAAAAATACAAACCAAACACAGTGTGCTCGGTTCTTATAAGTAAAATTCCAGGCCCATAAAGTTGATGTTTCTGAGAAACCAAGTCACAAACAATTAGTCAGTTGACTGAAAATTAATCAACAACTATTCTGATAAGAAAAGAATCATTTCCTCTTCGTTTTGCTTTTCTAATGTGAATGGATTTTTTACTTTTCTTCCAAATGCTTATAAATGAACTAAAGATCTTTGACAATACAGACTGTTAAACCAAATAATCTATGATTAAAAATACTTTAAATTTTTGGAGGCTGATAACGAAACTGATGTCAAGTAATGCACTGAATTGCACTTTTTTCACTGAGCTCTATTACAGACCTACAAAATGTTGTTTGTTGTATAAAGAAACAAATAGAATAACCCTGTCTGCTTGTTTGACAATGAACTCTCTGTGTTATCGACCTTGAAACACAAAACCCCATATTATTGCTTCCTGGGATATATTTGAGTTTATGATTCCAAATATATATTTGATTTTGTTGTAAATAGTTTCACTGTAATTTCTTATTAATCAGAAAAAAATGTGATCACAAAAAAAATATTTGACCACTTATATGAGAACAGTAGTTGCATTAATTATTTAGCAGTTAAAATGACAATAAGGTCATCACGCCAGCTGGAGAATAGAATAACTTTGTATCGTCCACTACAGTTCACTCGCCTCCACTCCAGACCACTGTGGGGGCTGGTGTCCTGACTGAGGACATGGAAGATGAGCCTCCCTCATTGTGTTGCCACAGTGACAAAGCAGTTCCGCAGGTTTCACCTTCACCTCTCCTCCCTCCTTCACCTCTCCTCCCTCTCTCGCTCCTACCCGGCCCAACTCGAGCTGAGCATGCTCTCCTTCACGCTACACTTCCTTGTTACGGGCAGCTTCATTCATTCACATGCAGGTGCAGCAAAATCATGTCACAACTCCAACAGCCGAAGGTGCAATCAGGGCTGCAGACCAGACGAGAGCGCAGGGTGAGGAGTGGAAGGACGGGCAACAGGTACAGATAAGGTGCACACACACACACACACACACAGTGACACACTGTGACTGACCTGGATATGTCACAAAAAGCAACCAACTGAGCCACAGCTTCTCTGCCATGATGATCCTGACACTAGTCATCATGTCTGATTCAATTAATTACTGAGAAACCGCGTTTCTTAACAACATGTTACACACAGTGTGACAAGTAGAATAAGAAATGTGCCTGAAGAGAAAAAGGTGCAACATGAAGTGTTAATAAAAGCAACAGAGCAGCTTCAGCCCTAAAACACTTCTGAGGAACCCAGTCCATGCAACTCATCCTGTCTTTCTTTTTCAAATAAACTAGTCACTTACTCACTATAATAACAATCCTAACAATACATGTGACACTGGGTGAAAAATGTATTAATTTAAGTGCACAATTTTCTAAATATATTCAATGTGGATTTTCAGTGAACAAGAAATGACTTGAATGTGCACTGAGTTAGGAGCCGTGCTAAAGTGGGGCCCCTGGTGTGAGTTGTGGCCCCTTATCCAGAAAAATTCTAGATCCACCACTGACATTTTTTATATAAAAGTGTTTTCTGATTCATCACTGACAGGTCGGTGGTTACAAAATAAAACTGGTGCTAAAGTAAAGTGCAACTCGTGAGAATAATAATGTCAGACCTGCTTCACCGTGACAGTACCATCTATCTCAGGCCTACTCTGAGCTCCCATAATCAGCTTACCAGGTTGAACACGGTCTCCACAATGTCTCGGTTGGAAACTTCCCCAACTTCCACCAGGCCGGCCAGCACGGCGAATTTCATCCTGATCCCCCGGATGGGCACCCCGGGGTTGAGCTGCACGGAGCCCGGTCTCCCGTCCTTTCCATCCCCGGGCTGAGCAGCGCCCGCCGCCTCCTCGCTAGCCATGGCTACGGAAGGAAGGACGGACGGGACAGGTGGCGTTCACAGGTGAGGCACCTGTTCACCTCCGCCGCGGCGGTGGTGGTGTCAGTGCAGCCGGCGTCGGGAGGAGAGGAAAAGCGAGGGGTTTATGTCCCCTTCAGCTGGGTTGTTGACGGTCCGCGGGCTCGCAGGCTAAACGCTGCCGTCCCCATCCAAAACTAAGGGGGGGATGGACCTGGAGAGCGGGCGAAGAAGAAGCGCTGGTCGGGTTTCGTTGGTGGGTGACAGGCTGAAAATCAGCCGCTCCTCTCCGCGGTGAACTGCTCCTCTCCCCGCTGCGTAACTCGATAGCAGGCGGGTGGATTAATGCCGCCGAAAGACGAAGGGAAGAGCGGGGCAGGTACGAGGGAGGGGAGGGGAGGCAGGTGAGCTGGAGCTCGGTCACTCGGCTGAGCGAGGACACGGAGAGTTGAATGTCTCCGTGTGGAAGTTGCTTTTGTCCGCACACAGTTGACAGGTAGCGGCGCTGCGAGCAGGAAACTCACCAACTGGAGAGTAAAGACGTGTGGGGGGGGGGCTGCGAGTCCCAGGCAGCAGCTCCGGGAGAAGTCGATGGAGGACGCGGTGTCCGCTCGGTCCCTCCCCGGTGAGCTCCGCACACTTCGGTGAAATGTCAGCGTTGACCCAGCGGCGCCGCTTTCTCTTCCTGATTCACCCCCGGCAGCCTCAGCTCGCCACCGCCATGACAGTGTAGCCGTTCAGCCAGCGGAGCATGCGCAGTGAGGAGCTCTGGCTGCTTCAGCTCGAGGGCAGGTGAGACATTCAGGTGCACGACACGCACGCACGCACACATGCACGTACACACACACATGCACACACGCTCACACATGCATACATGCACACGCACGTATTGATTTATTCAGGTAGTCTCACCAGAGCCGGACTGACCCGTTCCACTGCCCCCGGGGCTGAACATGTGCTCGTGGGCCCCTGGCTCTTGTTTCCATTCATCTTGGATGGATGTGCTAATTGTTGCTGCTAGTTGGCGCTGTTGCATCGTTTAAGTGTGGAGAAAAAACAGCTTTAGGTTGTTGTTGGTGGTGGGGGGGGGGTATAGCTTACCTGCAGCAGCCCTGGTTCAATTCCAATCTGCAGCCCTTTGCTGCATGACGTCCCCCTTCTCTCTGCCCCGTCTCATCACTAAACTCTCTCTGTTCTGTCCAGTAAAGGCCTAAAATGCCCAAAATATAGATATGTTAAAAAAGAAAAACTGTTTTAGGGCTGCTGCCTACTAGAGGATAATCAGGCCCCCCCCTCCGACAATCGCAGGGGCGTTCCTGACTGGAGGTTGATTTACGCTGATTATCTGCCCAGCTAATCCTGAAGTGTGGGGGGGGTTTCAAAAATAATCTTAATGGAGTCAGAGCCTCCTCGATCTCGATATAAAACAACTTTACATTTTCAACTCACCTCCAGCTCTTGTTGTATAATGTATACCCCTTCTCAGCCATCACTACATCCATTTTTTTCGCTGCAAAACATAACACACAACGATGGTCCTCCTCCATGTTTGTTTCTCTTCTGAAGTCACAAATCATACAAGTGTTCCACACTCCAGTTCAGAAGGTGCCTGTAATGTGCCCAAGTTGTTTGCCAACTGCCATTTAAAAAATCTGAAGGAGAAGACGACGTTGTCTGATGTTGTGGCCAAATCGTCCAGTGAGTGTGTTCTGAAGATTATAACATTAAAAATGTGTTGAACCTGTTATTATGTCTGTGGTCTCCCACGTTTTCAAAATCCTCTCGTGGGCAGCAGCCCTCAAGTGTTGGACGGGTTTTTTTCCTTCTTTCACACTCGTATCACATGAGCCATTTTCAGACATGACTTCTGGAGGGACTCCAGAGACTTGGGTCCGGACCTTCTCACACATGCACAAAGCAGAAGGAGGTTCTCTGCTCCGAAGAGTTCGCAACAGCAACAAACCGTAGGATCCAGGTGAGGGGCGGGATGATGGAACATATTAATTCTGCTGTGAACTCTCTTGACAGCTTCGACTGCTTCTTCTACATGTATGGCTCATCTTGTTCATGCAAAGATATTTGTATTCTTTTTGATTGTTTTTTCATTTTCAGTTTCTGCCGACTTTAAACTAGGGGGGCCAGTCGGACAAAGTATGGAGGCTCTCTCTCACTCGGCTGTTTGCTCTGACACATACAGCCCCTGCAGGGTAAGTACGGAGGGTTTTATAGTGACACATGTATAAAACACAGACAGGATGAATAGAGACCAGACATTTCTCTCAGTGCACAGTCACACATGTGCAAATGCGAAGTGAATGTCGTGGTTCAAGTTGAAAGTTGAAGCTGCAGATTTGCTTTGCCGCAGGAACACTGACAGACAGAGGTTAGAATCAGGTGCACAAGATAAAAGACAACAAAACAGTACAAAGATTCAAAAAGTACAAATATGTTCCTGAGCTGTCTCAACGTTTGAAACAAGGCACAACAATATTGCTCCACTAAAATCACTACAATTCATATGCTAACACAACATGTGCAAATTAAGCAGGTTTATTGCATGAGGGAAAAGTGACTCTCTACTTTTATTGCACTTATAACAGGCTGCTCTAGATCTCCGGCCTGATGAAGGGTTTCAGACTCACAGAGTATAGACCTGGTTCTGAAGGACGTGTTGTTTAAAGATAACCATCAGGAAGGTCTGAGTGTGACCCAACCTCCTGTGATACATGGCAAACTGTTTGGCAGGACAATAAACCCTTAACCCATGCTATACCCTCACTATTAAGATATTTTATGGATTTATATAAAAGAATTAGAAAACTGTAAATTATGCCACAGATTATAACAAATGCACAAATACTATAAATAATAATACATAACTATATGCTCGTATCTTTTGCTTGATGCGATCTGTGAAGTTGAACCAGCACCAAACATTGCTTTACGCTGCAATAACACACAGAGAGGGGGGGGGGGGGGTTGACATGTTGAACTTCTCTGACAGACGTCATGCAGCCCAAGCAATGAAAACCAAACATTAAAGCAAAGTGACAGCTCTGCACTGCTTGCCTTTTCAAATCACCTCCAATAACCAGTGACGTGAGATATTACATAGCTGAATGGATGAGGGGCACCAGTCATCCATCGAGGAGAAACACAATCAAATGCAAACTGAAAAGTGATGACGCAATGGATACAGTATTAAATAATGTGTGTTATTTGTCTTGTCCTTTTTCTCTGCTCACACAGGTGACTTCATGTTTGTTCTGCATGGACGGCTCAGCAGCCGTGAGTGTTGTTGTCCCAGAGGCAGCTGGCGTCACCGTTGCCACTGACCTCGCAGTAAACTGTAGCTGAGCCCGCGGGGACCCTGGGAGTCATGGAAGCCAGCAGCACCACCCCAGAGACGCAGGGGCCTCGTCTCTGATGTAATGACCTGAAATCAGCAGACTCGTTTGCTGCAGCTAAAATGTAGACTTCCCATTATTTTTCTAACAGAGCTCTGGAGAGATAATGATCATCTTTAGCTCTCTTCCTGCATTCCTTTGTTTCAAAGTCTTATTGTCCAAGAATAAGATTATGATTTCTGCACGTAACCTAGTATCTAAAATAACAGTTCAATCAATGAGTGATTGCAAAACACTGCATTTTCAGATTGCTTCTGACTCAAGCTATCAAGATACTGAAATACGAGAAAGGTGCATTAATGGTGACAAAAGAAAACTCCAAACACACCAAACCTTCCATTCAAGCCATTAATATACAATTGATGTCTGTGCAAACATTACAGCAGACATTCAAATTTAGTTGTTTGTGCAGTCTCATCCCTCAAAATTACATTTCCTGTGTTTACTTCACCAACTGTCTGATCAACGGTCATTTAACACCCTGAGGAAGAGTAATAAACATGAAATATCACATCCCAGCTGTCTACCTGCAGTATCTGTATGACTACCCCTTACAAACACTGTATGAACAGATTGTGTTTTTTTGTATTTTTCATTTTACACTCTGTTGCCAGTTGAGGAAACATTTAAATACTCTCATAAATACATTATGACTCTACAGCACCATATACTACATCATTTAAAATGATTGTGAAGTTCAATCAACTCTTCTTAACGTCATGAAAGTGAAATTTATTGCAGGGCTGTTGTTTTAAATTTAGGAAGGGTAAACTGCCACTCGTATTTTACCAACAGACAACATTCTCCCCTTTGTTATAACAAACAGAGTGGGTGGATAACATGCTACACACCTTCATGACGTGAACACGCCTAAAGACTGGCTTGTCCTGATGGGGGGTGTCAAGGATCAAGGAATTTCTTTCATGATCATGGCACCGTTACAAGTTACCTGGATTTAAAAAAAAATGCTTTATATGTCCAAATATTTGGTTTTTCATGGATGAACTTCATCAATCTAATCTGTACAACTTGTAGTGTTAGGTAAATCAAAAATATTCAGTATTAATAACATTATGCAATTTTTATCTGCGTATAAACCGATTAAAATATAACAAAAACACACAGTCGTATTTAATTCCATAGACCTCAGCGAAAATGTAAATTGTTTGGTTACTCGATATGATCAGAATATTTCGTTTGTACCAGCAGGGGGCGCCCGAAGAGGCTGCAAGGACACGCGAGATCACCCAAGTCTCACGGTTTCTTTCTCTTTAATTCTCGCGGGATTTCCTCCTTCTTCCTCTTTCACTCCCTGTAGCCAACATGGCAGTCGGCAAGAATAAGAGGCTGACCAAAGGCGGCAAGAAAGGTGCCAAGAAGAAGATGTAAGTAGCACATTCCAGCCCAGTCACACGAAACAGGCTTCGCTCTTTCCACCGGTGCCACCGTGGTGCGAGAAATGTGAAGGATGAAGCCGATTCTAGGTGGATGATCGCGGGGGCTGACGCTCATCGTCGCCGGCCTCAGTGGCGCTGGAGACTCGTAGCATGCAGGGTTCCTTCAGTCTGAGGCGTCCGGTCGCAGCTCGGTTCGAACAGACTTAGACTTTATTTACTTTGTTGTAACACGTTTGAGTTAATACACGTGAGAGTTGGGCGAGTTCAGCCTCACAGTCAAGAACAGCAACGTTATTTGCCAAATGTTAGCATGGAGTTAGCTTAGCTTACCCTTTAGCATGGCAGCCAAACTAGCCAACAGTTAGCTAGCAGAATGACTGCGGGACAACCTGGTTGTTCTGTGAAGTCCCTGAACATCAGTGAGCTGCTTTAGTGAAAGACAAACCCTCCACGATGGCGCACGTGACCCGGAGCCGTGTCCCTCAGTCAGTGCACGGTGAACCGGGTCACCCGCAGCCTGTCAGCCTCTAAATCCAGCTCACAGACGGTGATCCGCACACCCACATGGACGCTGCTGTCCGTGCTGATCTGTGGGTTGTTCTGTTTGTTCTGTTCCGTCGTGTAACCTCCTCTCGTCCCTCTGCAGTGTGGACCCTTTCTCCAAGAAGGACTGGTACGATGTCAAGGCACCAGCCATGTTCAACATCCGCAATCTGGGCAAGACCTTGGTCACCAGGACTCAGGGAACCAGTAAGTCTTCATGATGATGTCTTGTTCAGTGACGTGTGTGATAATGAATAACTGTGTCCTGTACACGAGGCTGTCAGTGAGTAAATACTGTTTTTATAAGATGGTGAGGATGTAAATGAGCATTAAAGGTACAGTGTGTAGAAATCTGTGATATGTAGTGTTGAAATTGCATGTTACAAATGAACACCCCTCACCCTCTCATTCCAAACATGACAAAGAACCCATGTTAACCTTCAGTTGTCATAAAAACTCAATAGGTGATTAGTTTGTCGGGTCTGGACTACTTTAAAGAACATGGTGGCCTCCGTAGAGAGGGTCCCCTCGATGTAAATATAAAGTATTTAAATATAAAGGCTCTTTTCTGTGGTAAAGAAAACTACAATTCATACAATTTAGATGAAACAAACTAGTGAAAACATCATGAGGATTATTCTACATTAAATTTCTGCCAATAGTTCCCTTTCACCTAAATCTTACACACTGGGCCTTTAAACATGTGAATATAAGACCATGCTTTCCAGTGCGACAGGTGCATGTCTTTTCCTTCTTAACTTGTTTCTCTTGCAATCATTCAGGAATTGCCTCCGATGGTCTGAAGGGACGTGTGTTCGAGGTGAGCCTCGCTGACCTGCAGAACGATGAGGTGGCCTTCCGCAAGTTCAAGCTCATTACCGAGGATGTTCAGGGCAAGAACTGCCTCACCAACTTCCACGGAATGGACCTGACCCGCGACAAGATGTGCTCCATGGTCAAGAAGTGGCAGGTAATGATCATGTTTTTGAAAAGAGCTCAGTATATCCTTAATATTTCATCATAGTTAACATGCTGTACGACTTCTGGCCACAATACTATTTCACATTAATATTAATTCTCCAAATCTACTGTTGACAAGATTGTACTCAAAATGTCAATGTTTATGGTACCTATGTTTAACAAGGAGAAAATAGGTTGATTTATTTTAGGATCAGTTCTTTGTGAAGTGTGATTGAGACTTTATTGGTTTGAAGCTTTGGGTTCTCAGGACATTTTTAATATGACCATTTAAGTGTCTTCTTTAGTTGTTAAATCAACTCCAGTCAAATAACTGGAATATTAATGTTAAATAGTAACTGGGTGCAACTGATGGTGGACGATAATGAAGAATAAATTCAATCGAATGACATTAATCAGTCATTTGAGTTTGTCCAGTCTCACCATCCATCAATGCAGGAGACAGAATTCACCACAAGAAATAGTTGGTTATCTACGTATGAATCGTCATTTAATGAGATCAATCAGGATTTTTGTCATGAACAGTTTTTAAAGTATGAGGTCACAAGGGCAATAATCCAAATTTATTTATTTTAAACATTGTTCAAGAAGTCTTTTTTTAACCTATGGTATATTGACAGTGTTATGGTATGCTTATTTATAATGCAGCTGCAGTAACAGGAGAGTAAGGATTGTTAATCAATCTTAGCTCTTTAGAAATAAAGTAGAGAAGCTTCTTTTGCTCAGGAATAGTGAAGGATGAAAATGTAGATGCATGGAAACTTTGCCCCTGTGACTAATTTGAGTTTTGTTGTTTGTTTTTAATATTTTTAGATTACATTTTTATCTTGCATATATTACTCTTTCAAAATAGTTTTATAAACCGAACATTAAATGACAAACACAATGCAATTGTGATCATATATTAAGGGCAAAGACTGAAATTGGTTCAGAAGCAGCTGAACAAAGTTTGATCAATCTTTTTATCCTGATTTCTAATTGGTATGGATGTTTTTTTTTCTCACTCAGACCATGATTGAAGCCCACGTCGATGTCAAGACCACCGACGGCTACCTTCTGCGTCTGTTCTGCGTTGGTTTCACAAAGAAGCGCACCAACCAGATCAGGAAGACCTCCTACGCCCAGCACCAGCAGGTCCGCCAGATCCGCAAGAAGATGATGGAAATCATGACTCGTGAGGTCCAGACCAATGACCTGAAGGAAGTTGTCAACAAACTGTAAGTCATGTATAGTTTCTGTTTTATTATTTTATCTTCAAGGAAAGTCTGTCGTTGTTGTTGGTGCAACATGGCTGCACACCATTTTGAGCTGTGAATGGAATGATTGGGCTGATTGGGTTTGTTGTTGTATTTAGAGTAATTTGTTGTATATTGTCGTCTTCCAGGATCCCTGACAGCGTTGGCAAGGACATTGAGAAGGCCTGCCAGTCCATCTACCCTCTACACGACGTCTTCGTCCGCAAAGTCAAGATGCTTAAGAAGCCCAAGTTTGAGTGTAAGTGAAATTATAAGCACTGGACTTTTTTTCTTTTCCTCCCATCTATGGGAACACGTGATGACAGAATTGTTTCGGTCCCAAATGATCACCTGATTACTGCCCATTGAGGTCAGCTGACGTTCCCTCTCATGGTAAAATGCTGGCTTAGGTTCAGTGACGTCAAGACACGTCGGAGGTGAAATATCGCTGCTTGGTCTCAGCAGACTCAAACATGTCATTTGTTGCTAGCCTGTGACTTTGACTTTTTTTGATCGGTCTGAGCTAAAAGCCTGTTGTCTTCTGTTGCAGTGGGCAAACTGATGGAGCTCCATGGTGAGGGCGGTGCCGGCAGTGCCACAAAGACGACCGGCGACGACACCGGAGCCAAGGTGGAGAGGGCTGACGGCTACGAGCCCCCCATCCAGGAGACAGTCTAAAGCAAACACCCTGACAGATTTAATAAAAAATGTAAATGACCCAACAGTACTGTTTGTTCTCTTTTGTGTTGGAACTATTTCATTTTATGAATGTGGACAATAATTGCACAGACAAATCTTGAGTTCTCAAAGTTAGACTTGCACAATTACATAATAAGTTCATAATACAAGTACCAAGTGATTCTACATTAAGTGTAAATAAGAGCCTAAGCTGCATGTACCACACAAAGGCACAGAAACCTGATGCTTTACAAATAGGGTTTTTTTTCATGTTACTGATTAAGAAGAAGAAAAACTACACAGGGTATCTTGAGTTTGCAGTTATTATCCAGTAGTACTTTTATTGAATATTTCCATGGAATCAATGACCAGGTTACAAAAAGATGACATACTTTGTTATAACCCATATTTTTTGTATCTGTGAAGTAACTTGAACTGTGAGGGAAAGGACATGGGAGACAAACCACTAGATGGTGCAAAGGGTAAATAATTCAAAATACAGCTGGATTTTAAAAAAGCAGGGTATTTACAGCCAGGTTTACTCTAAAGTATTTATAACCATGATAAATCCAGTGAACATTTCAAGTTAATGCTGCAGATGATACAAGATGTTGCACTAATTTGTAATTAAATACTACAGTTCACTGAAGACCTCCACTGGTGAAAGCTTCGGTTTGTCCTCAGGTATAAATCCACTTGTGGTCATCTTCAGTTCTTTTTGTACTATCCCAGAACTTGTACATAGTTTTTAGGGACCAGGGCTCGCTTCCCCCTCAAATCCCCCAGAAACCATTCTCCATCAATTGTCTCCAGGTTGGTTACAATATCTCCGATCTGTGGCAGGGAGAAATTAAGGGTTGTTTTCAGATGATACTTGTGCTTTTTCACTGTGTTCATGATGAGGAACAAATAAATCTCTACCTGCAGAGAGAGCTCCTCATCGCAGTCTGATGTGAAGTTAAACAGAGCTCTGGCTCTTCCACCAGCAGCTGCAGCTTCATTCTGCTGACTGCTGAGTGACTGCTGACCTGCTGAGGAGAACATACAGTACTGGTCAATGACAAATAACGATGGTTGTATCATTTAACAGTCTGTTACAGCTGAAACAGTGAGTGGATCAACTGATCCTGCAGCTATTTCAACAATCGTTTAAGTCACTTTTCGCACAGAACAATATTTACTCCCACATCCTCAGTTGTATTTGCAGTTTTTCTTTGAATTGTGAGATAGTAAACTGAATATCAATGAGTTACAGACTGTAAATCAACATTTGAATATGTCTGTTTGAGCTTGTGGTCAGTTTTCACCATTTTGTGTCTTGATTTTCACCAAACTTGGTGGGGATATTATTTGTGAGTGTATCTTCAAATGATCAGATTTTGGAGCAGATTGATCGTAAAAGGTCAAAGTTAAGCTGAACTAAAATATAACATCTTTTTCAAGATATCTCTGTAAACAATTAGGCTGGATAAGTTCATATAAATCAGAAAATTATATCAGTACAGTTTAGTTTCACTTAGATGAACCAATCATTAATCATGATGAAGTTTATATACTGGGGCATATATAGTGTTAGGCTCACCCCTGCAGACAACACAGTAATATCGACAAAGCACCACTGTGAGAACCTCATACCTGATCTGCTCTCAACAAAAGCACTGGGGAACATGCCCTCTCTGCCATTGAGCCTGCCACTGCTCCACTCAGCATTAATGTGCTGGGTGACCAGGATGCAGTCGCCCTGCTTAAAGGACAGGTCGTCCTCTGACCTCCCGGCGTAGTCATACAGAGCCACCACCCAATCCACGCTGGACTGAGACGACTGCAAAGTAAAATGAAACAAAAGAAGAGACCTGAATTTCTGTTTTTTTAAATATATTTGTCCTAAACCAACATCTTCTCTACTGATGTTACTGCATTTATTTAAAAACTGGTTACCTGAGCAGGTTTGGCAAACTCAGAATTTGCACCAGGAGAGGCCACCATGCCTGTGGAGGAAAAATGTGTCAAGGTCATTAAAAATTAAAAGCACATGAGATCCAATCATGGGGCCAAATATAAAGGCGTGAATCTGAAGTTGTTATCATTAGTGTTGCATGCAAAGTTTATGTAGTAGCTTCCACGGAGGATGCAGAGGTCAAGTAAAAAGCTGGTAGTTGTCGGGAAATAGAAACAAAGTTGTGAGGTATTTATTGTAGTTATACTTTAGATTTATAATCACTCTTTGATTCTGAGAAAACATGACATCTAAACTATGTTTCTGAACTCTGGGCTACTGTAAGTGAGTCTGGCCTCAGGTTCACTGTTGAGAGACCTTCAGTAAACAGCTATTTAATGAAACAGAAACAGAAGCAGATTCCTGACATGCCACTGAGGGAAAACTGAACACAAAGGAAAAAGATGGAGAGAGGCTGTTCACTCACAGACACTGCCACTCTTTTGTTTCAGAGATTCAGCGACTGTACAGCAGCTTAAAAAAAATCTTCCCAGGCTAATTAAATCCTGGGAAATCTCACAATGTCAAAGAAAGTGATTAAAAAAGAAAATCCTGGATTTATTGTTCTTGCTCGCGTCCCGTCCTTCCAACAAGTTCTGTGGAAATGAAAACATAACTTTGTTGGTGGAGGTGATGCAGGTTTCACGTCATCGTACCTGGCAGGGGGAAGCTCTTGGGAAGTGTCTGCTGCCGACTGGGAGGTGGAGGCAGATCTTCAACCACCTCCACGAAGTTAAGAGGGAAGATCCCAGTCGAGACGCCGATCTGTCCCCGAGCCCAGTCCTCTCCGACGTACTCCTTCAGCTGGATCACATCCCCCTCCGAGAACGACAGCTCGTCACTGTGCTCCCCCTCAAATTCAAACCTCGCCACGCAGCGTGGACCACTTCACAGATTACAAAAACATTTCAGGTCAGCTTAGGTGAGGCTGGAAAGGCCCGTGCAAAGATTTTAAATTGTAAAAATTGTACCTGACTGTTGCAGGTGGGGGCTTCGGTTTCCTTTCAGGGAGGGTTTTTGTTGAATCTGACTGTAAAGAGAATTTAAAATTTATATCCATCACATACATTTATGAATAATCAGCCTTGTTGTCACCAAACAGGCGATTAATACTTAAATTCCAATGATGTCAATAGTTCAAACTTACCAAGACTTTGACATAATTGACAGGAAAGAAACCACTCGATCCCCGACATGTTCCTTTGTACCACTCGTCGTTCACCGGCTCCACCATGGTCACAACATCTCCTTTTCTCAGACCCAGCTCTCCTGGACCCTCTATGAAGAAAGTACACATCAGTTATTTAATGGCATCAAACAAATAACAAAAACTTCCCAAATCCTTTGACTAAATGTATCTTGCACTTGTTCTGGGTTGTTTTCAGATGAACAGTATCTATGTTTTAAAAATGAACATGCACTAAAATAGCTCCCAGATGGTTTAGGACCTCACCAGAAATCCCAAATACAGAATGGATTTAGTGTTATTGCAGAATCTCAGTCAGCATAAACGGATGCATCACCTGGGATGAAGTCATGTATGACCTGCACCTTCAGCCCATGACCATCTCCGCCTGTAGTGCTTGTTACAGAGCCCTGTTAAGAGACAACAAAGATGTGAAGGTGAGGCTCAAGTATCCGGGACATGTTTTTTTACTCATGACTGAAGGATAAGTTACCTGTGGTGGGGACATGTCTGCAGTAAGAGGAGTTATGACTGTCAGGCGAGACTTGGGGACTCGGCCTCTGATGTCTCCGACCTGGCACTCAAAGGTATTATGGTCGATTTCCGCCAGCAGCAGAAGAACTTCATTTTTCTAATGACAAAGAGAAACAAAGGTTTAAGATTTCAGCCGGTCCAGAAAATGGAGCGTTATGTGTAAAGTAATCCACTTTTGTGTTGAGGAAATGGGAAAGTTTGGAAAACTAGTTTGGTAACCTGGAGTGACAGCTCTCCTGTGTTGCTGCCGTTGTAGTCAAGGGCTGCGATTCCATGGGGAAGTTCAAGCTGGTGAGAGAAAGCAGAAAAGAAATTGAACATGCGCTGATCGTGGTGGGTATTAAACGGGATCACAGCACAGAGCCGTGCAGTGGGACCTGTCTTACAGTGTATTTGTTGTAGAGACGGTGGCCCGGGTTGGGCCTCGGAGGCAAGACAGGTCTTTTCCCGCGGGGCTTCTGAGCCTGTGGTTTGAGTGAAACGTCCCATGGTACTGAGTGGGATCGACCGGTGGCCTGAAGGCTGGGTGGGGGAGGTCTTCCCGGGCCTGGTTTGGCCGGAGGTGGGCGAGGGGGGAGGGTTTTGATTGTGCTGGACCTCCTAAGGTTCAAGGTGAGAGGAGACACATCTTTAATAATAAGTGAAACTAACATTTCAAACATTGGAGGAATTTCCCCTCTCACTTACCGAGGAGGTAGCGATGGCTCTGGTCCAAACTGGAAAGACTCCTGTGAAAGATTAAGGATTTTCTTCATTAGCACTAAAACAGACTCATTGAATGGTTTACAGGCGTGGAAACCATAGTAACCATGCAGCAACACAAAGCATTCAGACACAGCTACAGAGACTACAGTAGTTTATTAGTTTGTGGGAAGCAGAGGAAATAAAGCAGGTGAGATCCTCAGCTGACAGACGAGATAAACACGACTGAGAGAAACCTTCTGGACTAAAAATGCACCAGAAGAGAAGAGAACACAAAAGCCTGATTGTCATTGTATTGTACCACAGACTGTATATAAAGACGGACAATGCATGTCTTCTTCCTCCTACTTCCCAGAAATGAAGCCAAAATATCCCAGATACAAACTCTGCCCTCTGCACACCCTCAACCAAGTAAATTGGATTGTATTTTGACTTTTTAGTTTGGCCCATGTCTCATCCACTAACATGGAGGAGGTGAGGTTTGTGACCTATAATGTGGCCGGCCACCAGGGGGCCATCAAGACGCTTTGGCTTCACTTTTGGGGAGCTGTCTTATCATCCATCTTTACACACAGTCCATGGATTGTACAAAACATTGTAATTAGACTTAGAATATATTTGAGTAAAGGCTTAAATGCAGTGTTTGTGAGTGAGTTTCATATTTGATACCTCCTGGAAATCTTACCTGTGACGGGAGGATGGGTGTTGACATCTGTTTGTGGATTACTGAGGAGTTCATGGAGCCCACAGGCTTCTGAACAGGGAGAGGAGGAGCACTGTCCTGAAAAGAATCTGAGACTGAGAGGAGACGTGTCTTTACTATAATGTTCTGAAAACACGTGCTCCATTATCAACACAGGGGTAAAATCAATAACTCACGATCAGACCATGTGTCATGTGACGTGTTGTGGACTCACATGAGGCAGTTTTGCTGGGGACCCTGATGGTGGTCGGTCTCCTCGTGAGACTCTGTCTGGTGAAAGAGGCTCCGTTGCTGTCCACACTGTGCTGAGGCTCCACTGGGACGTGGTCTGAGTAAAAAGACACTTGACTTCACTGCTGAGTGTTTCCAGCAAACACCTCTTTAAAGTGAGGAGTAAATACAACCACCTGTTGCCACTATTTGTACTTCATATGTGCTCTTTGAGTTCTCTTACACTTGTCCATGCAGAACACTTCAAGTTCTGAAATAGTTTCGCTCTGTCCTGTACGGTGGCTCAAACACATGCAATCACAGAAATGCGCTGCAAATTGCAGATTCTATTGTTTTTTATTTCATTGTATTTATTTGCTGCTTCTGCTTAGGTTTTAGATTCTAGTGATCTATTTCATTGCTCATTCGGGACCTCAGTACTTAGTTTCGTTCCCTCTCATGTCCCTCGTGTTTTGGAATGACCATAAATCTTCATGAGTCCTGACAACAACAACTGAATTGTAGTTCAGCTGTGGTTCAATGCTTTGTGAAGTTCCATCACCACTGACGAGTAGCAGACTTCAATAACTTCACAAAGCACTGAACTGCAGGTTCCTCACTTTTTTTGCGTCCCCTGGAAACATTTCCGTTTTCGCAATTTGCAGCACATTTCTGTGTTTGCATGTGTTGTGACTATTTGCAGCGCATGTGTCCTCAAGTAGTTTTCTTAATTTGCATTTGTTTTCCTGTAGTGCGTTGATCCCTCTCTGCCACTGTAGCCTCTATGGTTAGGTTTAATTGGGGACTTCCTGTTTGTGGCACATCCCTTTGTAATCGTTGTGAAAGGTGCATGTCGATATGATCATAAAGCAATTGATTTATTTTAGTCGACACAACCTACTTACTTGATATCGTGTTCACATACTCGTTCTCAGTGAACATGGAGGCTGAGTTGTGGTTGTTAAAGTTCAGGTTTGGTTTGAGAGGCTCTTTAAAGGGCTTCACAGGAGGTACAGGAGGAATTGGTGAAATGTCCCCTTCATCGATGGTCTCGGCTCTGGTCAGTAAAGGAGGACGGGATCTGCCTGGCACGGCCCCCTTTTTGTGTATAGTCTCTAACTCCTCTTTTATCGACAGCCCCACTGTTTTTTTAGGGGGCTGAGGTCTCTGGTCCAGTACCTGGATTTCTGCTGAATATGTGGACAAGACGTTTTGGTAGTCATCATCTGCGCTGTGGTTGAACTGAGGTTTGAGCGCCACAGAGGGTTTAGCAGCAACTGGAGGTTTGGCGATGGCCTTCCTGGGCCGAGGCTCCGGTTTGACTGGTTCAGCCACATTTCCCTCCTCCGTCTGGCTCTCGAAGGCCTGGATCCTGGCACGGATGTTACGTTGAGTGTGGTTGGCGTTCATCTCGCCAACAGCATCTTCACCTGTAGAGGCCTCGTCTGATTGGTTCTCCTCACACTGGTTTTCTGCTCCAAAGGCCTCTAATAGTTCCTGTAAATATTTATTTGAAGATAAGTCCTCAGGATAAGGGGGAAGAGCGTCACAGTCGTCACTGAGTATGACCAAAGACTGAACTTTGACCTCCTCTGTAATCGCCTGCTTTCGGGTTTTTCTACGAGGAAGCGGAACTGGGCATTGACGGGGTTCGGAGTTTGAAGAGGAGGGAGCAGTTTCAGCAGGAATATCCCAGTGTACGGTCACAGACCTGGTGTGAGTGAGATCTGCTCGGTTGAGTTGTTTTACGTCAGATTTAGATCCACTTTGATCCTGAGTATTGGTGGATGTAGTATTTGTTCCCACAGTTTCAGAGAGCAGTTCTCTGTCCACTGGCTTCGGCAGCGACGGCCTCGGTGGCTTCTTTGGTTTTTTGCCTGGAAACCAAAGTGAACAAACATCTTGTGAAACCGATTGAAACTTGAAACTGACACATTCACTCCACCAGTAGTGATTCTTGTGTGTCTCACCGGTAGATCTTTTCTCAGCCAACTGTGGAGCCGCACTGCTTTGTGGGTCGGCGGCGGCGTCTTCCCTCTCAGGGTCGGTCTGTGTGGCGCTTGTAATGGTCCAGCGGGGGGCTGCAGTGGGCCTGACGACGTGCTCCTCCTGGGTCTTCTCCTGGATCACCTGGTCATAGGATGGTGGAGGCTGAATCATGAAAGAAACACACACACACACACACACACACACACACACACA